AACCTGGACCCGTTTGACTCCAAATTCTCTTTGCCACCTCTCTGACTGTTTAATTTAGTCGGCTGTTGACATGGCCTCGTTGGCAGCACAGAAAAGTCACTTGGTGACTAAGATGGAGTGGCCTCCAAGCTCCATGTAAAGGACACCAGGAGCATTTATATCAGGYGTCCATCTCGAGGTCTCTCCCCATCAGCAGACGGTGCACATGCGCGGACAGCACCACGGGACAGCCGTGTTCAGGCCTGGGAATGGGTCCCCAGCCACCAAGCAAAACAAGCCTCTGTTTCTAAGTCTAACCAGAAACGTGTCCAAATTACTAGGGAGCTCCCCACTGGCCCTCTCCCCTCCCACGGGAGCTTCCTCTTGTCCCTTGTGGAAATCATTACTTCAAAAATCCCCAGCGCCGCTGTCCATGTGGACGCACACCTCTGGTTAGGTTCGTGGCCAATTTCAACAAAGCTAATTTCTGCTTTGAAATACAGCACAGGGGTTTGGGTGACCCACYGCCACCCACGTCACAGAGGCATTTGCTGGCAGAGACCTGCCTGTCTAGCCCCGGAGAGCTCAAGGTAGAAGACCTTGGAGGAATCACTGACTCAGCAGGGGGATGGCAAAGGGTCAGCTGGACACCCACCCAGGGACTTGAGCATCCGCCTGCAGAGGGCCCTGGGAGGGGCCTGGAGCCCAGCGCTCATGAGGTTCCTCCAGCTCCTGCTGGCCTCTGACTTTCACTTGGGAGATCTGTCTAAACACTGTCCAATGCTATGGCGCCCACAGGGCCGGGAACACACTGAAGCCCCATCTTTAGAGCCAAATCACCTCCACGCATGTATCCTACTCTTCCCTTCTGCTGGGCACTTGTCCTTTCTGGCCCAGGGGACGCCTTCTGCTGCCTCCCAGGACCACTCCAATCCCACCTCTTCCTAACTCTAAGAAGCACCTGGCTGCTCCATCTCCGTGATTTCATGAGCATCCCTGAGCCTACACCCCACTCACAGGGGCAGGCGGGTGGCTAAGAGGGTTGCAGAAATCCCACCCATCCAGCCCAAACCACAACTATCCGGCTGACATTCTTTGTGACCTTGGGCTCATTCCCTTTCTCCAAGTGTAGAMTTTAGGTTCTCCATAGGCAAAAGGAGAGCCACAAGGGGAATCTGCGACCCCTTCCCTGGGAACCTGAGAGTGATCTGTATTTTCTCATTCAGATATTTTTTTTTGGGGGGGGAGAAAGGGGGATTTCCTTTTTAGAAAGGCATTTTGGTGGTAACACTGATTATGTAAAACCCTCGGCAGGACCCAGGACAACACCCTGAAATCAAACACATAAATATTCCCACAGCAAAAAATATGAATATTTACACTAACTGGAATAAAGGAAAGTCTATAAATAACCGTACATCATTTCAGGTCAAGCCTTGTTCTCAAATGAAATTTGGTGTGAAACTTGAAAAAGGTTTGATTTTTTTCAGAGCTTATGGGGACTTAGAATTGCAGATGAGGGGTGGCAGACCACGGCTACCCAACTTGGAAACGCATGGAGATGATCCTTCTCCTTGGTTAGCYGCTCTCCGTGATACCATCACTCCCTCTGGCCAGCTCCGTGTAGCAGTACAGCCTGGGGTTTGGGTGCTGCTGCTTCTACTGGGCTGCAAGCCCACAGGTCAGCAGCTGTGGCCGGGATCCAGGAGCCTAGCACAGTGCCTGAGGTCAAAGGAAGTGTGTGGCAAACAGAAARCCAAGTGAACCATGTGGCTCCACCCTCTGCCCTCCAGCCAGGAAAATCATCTTCCTTAAGATGAGGATGAGACAACCCTTGGAGTGGCAGGAAGAGTGACTAGCCAGGAGCGGTGGCAGACATCTAGACCAAGGTGTGCTGGGTCACACATGGAACACACAGCCCAGGGCTCCTTAGACCCGAGTGCCAGTCAAGCAGACGGTGAGGTCTGAAGTCATTGTTTTGGCAGTGTGTGACCGTGACCCATGGCTTTGGAAGTGCCCTTGGCAGGTTTGGAGCTCCAGAATGACTTTGGCAATGGCCTTGACCTCCTGGGTGAGCAGGTCAGATAATCTGCTAATCACTGAAGATATCGTGAGAAATTCAGACATGAGTAAAGAGCTCCGTGGAGCATGCACCAGGACTTCTTATCCAAGGACATCGAAGTTGGGAATCTGTTCACGGGGGGAGGGGAGGACCTCATGCTTTTGCAAAATTCTTGATAATGCCACTCATTTCCTCTTCCTTTTGGCCTCTTTGCACCCATGAAACCATCCAAACTGGCTCAGCTCAATCCTCTGAATTCATCCCACGATTATCTCCACAGCTAGCTGGATAAACAATTTGGCTACACATATTCRACAAGTTAAGACACAGAATAATGGCCGTGGGGAATCCAACACGGTAGAGTCTGTTTTCCCTGGATGATGGCAAGTAGGGTCCACGGTCACCACCGAACCTCCGCTACAAACACACCTAGGCAAAGAGTCTGTATGAGCCACCTCCCTGGAACCATCAGGAAACTCCTCCTCCACCRTCTTCGCAGGACGAAGTAGGTACTTGCTCAAAGCTTGGCAAAGCAAATGGCTGGTCAATTCTATTTTTCTTTAACTGGCAGACAACAATAGGGCCCTGTTGGTCTGAATTTTTAAAGTGGCACTGGAGGGTATCATGAAAGGGAGCCCCCTCTGCCACCGTGCTCTTGAGCATGGCGAGACCTCCAGAGGTACCTCAAAGTCAGACACAACAGCCCTGCCAAGTGTCTAGGGTCACTCTGCACCCAAGTCTCCAGGCTTGGGGCCCTCTCTGCCACAAGTGGAGAACACACTCTTTATCTTGATCACTTTAATGTCTTGCTGGTGACATTGCTCAGGGGCTGAGAGTGCCTTGATTCCCTTCAGGAAGGCCTTGCATCTGGAGTTGGGGAGAAACCAGCAAGGTCAAGGAGGCGGTGGGCAAGCTGTCGGAGTGGCCGGCAGGCAGAGCAGCGGGCATGAGGGGGACATGAAAGCCGAGTGCCTGTCGTGGCTACAGCTCTCTTTCCCTTGGCATCTCCTCCTCCACTTGCAAACATAACTGTAGTGGGGGATGCCAGAGGGCACACAACATGGCTGTCTCAGCAAGCCAGAAGTCCAGCCAGTGTTCCTCTGGACACAGCCTCTCTGTGGGTGCCAGCGGGGGACAGGGAAGCCACATGAAGCATGTCCCCCTGTGGGTCCGGAGGGTCCTCCCTCAACTGCTCCCCTGACTCACGGGCCACTGGTGAGATCGCCATTGGCTGAGAAAATAAAGAGGATGGGGCTGAGATCTGCAAGTAAAATCACTTGCTCCAACCCCAAGTCACTGGATATGTTTCCCAAACGCTTCCTGCAAAGGGAAAAGAAACAGGGCCTCCCCAATTTCTCAGCTGGCCCCTGCGTCTTCTCATCTATCACTGGGGTAATATGTCCAGAGTGGCATTTCGTCATGACAGCAACATTCCAGCAAATCGATAGTTATTTAATTCCCAACAAGCTCCCGAGTCCATTAAACCTGATTACATTCACCCATTTCAGTGGGTGCCGTTATTTTTCCTACACCGGCACTTAATCCATAACAGGAACTTATGAGAACTTTCAGGAGCAATTTCAGCATCAATCAGCCGAGAGTGAGCAGCACGATTTGCCTGTGATTATTTATCGGCCGGGGCGGCAGAGGGTCTGACAGACCTCCAGAGCTGACCTTCACCCCAAGTTTGCAATAGAAGCAAAAGGCCTGCTGCTGGCTTTCCCTCCTCCGCCAAGTCCGGAAACACAGTCCTGCCCCCCTGGCCTGCCCGTGCCAGGAAGGACGGAGCCCTGTCCCTGCTGACTGCCAGGGGCCATCTTGTGGTGGCCTGTCCACCTATATGTGGAAGACAGAAGCCACCAAATGGAGCAAAGGCCACACATCCAGGGTGACAGAAGGTTTTGCTCTTCTTCAGAATCACCCTGAACAGCTCTAGTTCCTAAACGGCACAGCAAAGGAGTCGGAAGAGGAGAAAGAAATAGAATTTGACCAGAATCCTCCCCAGAAATTTGAATTCAAGCGTCAGAGTGTTGCAGAATTTCCAAACACAGGGGTTTGGGGTGCAGAGTGAATGGGAAGGGACGCACTAAATATGTTTTTTTTTTCCTTCCCATGGAAAGAAGATGCAGAACTGATCCCAACCAAGAGGTGACCATTCTCCGTGAGCAATAGTGAAAGCCACCTGACCAGCCACCACCGCCAGGCTCTGCAGTCGCCAGCTTCCCAGAGAAGCTMGACGTCCCCCGGGAGCAGTGCAGACAGCTCACAGGTGGACTCGGGGMGAGGGAGAGAACGAGGCAAATGACCCCGTCCACACAGCAGTGCCCGCCTCRACACCAGCACCAGTCACCACCCTCCTCCGTCCTGCCATCGTTAAGAGGCGAACAGCTGGTGTGGGGTTCCTGGCACCACCTCCAAGTGCCTGAGGGAACCGGCAACGGGGTGTCCCTGCTTGACTCGGCGCCACCACGCAAATTCAGGGTGTGCGGCGGGGAGGGGGGCTTTCTCTGAAAACAGACAGCCCATCTGGGGCGACCCAGGAATCGCGGCCTGCTGGACGCTCCCTTCATTTCCTGGGCCACAACTCTTCACCGCGTCACCTCGTGATAAGTCACTCGGCCTCGTGATCTGCTCGGGGAGACCGAGCCCCTCGGAAAGCTGGGAAGGAGCGCAGATCTTGTGCCCTGTGGTCAACCTCCCAAAGCCAAGGCATGAATGTTAAACAGCAGTCAGATCAATACAAGCAAATATAGCTCAACTACACCATTTATTCAGCCATGAGAGATGTCAATAGCCAGATTAGGGTGATCCATCTTTTAGATTTCCTACTGTCTCCTCACTGACTACAGGAGGGCTTTTTCCTGTATTAAAAGTGTTTGCTTTCTCAACCATAAAAATTCCAATTATTACTCTGAGCGCGCGGGAGTTAAGTCGCTGGCTGGCAGAGACCTTGCGTTACCTGAATGGGTCCAGGGAAGTAGGGTGCTGCGGGCAGGATCATGGGCACACCGTAGGAATGCAGGAGGACCCCTGGAGACGCCAACATGCTTACTCGCAGTGCCAGTCCCTCCGAGGCTCAACGCATCAATGAGAGCTGGGGGGGATCTAGGGACCCAACTTCTGCCCAACTACAGAGCYGGGAGCCAAACGGCTTCTGTCAGGAGCCAAGCGCTCGTCAGGCCGAGAGGGGAAAGAAAGAAAGTCCGCATCAGCAACTCTGGATGTGAAAGTCTTCTTCCCAGACCACGAAGAGACGGCGGCAGCTGCAAAGTTGAAGCCACCGAAATGGAAAGGGCTATTTTGGGCACAGCTTGCCCAACGCGCTAACCAAACCCTCTCCGCTAAATTAGTTCTCGGAGAGAGCGGGAGAGAAAGAGGGGACCGGCCCTGAGACCACGCTCTCGGCCCACGGGGTTGGGCCCAGAGGCCAGCACCGGGGTCCCCTGGGAGCTTGGAAGTGGGAGACGTGAGCTCCCGTGCTTATCAGCGGCCACCGAGAACCAGAATCCAGAGGAAGTTCCTGGGCAGCCAGCAGGAAACCAACCCAGACATGTTCAGCCTCTGTTCTCCCTCTTGCTCTCTCTGATTTCCATTCTAAAGGGGCGATTTGTAAATAGTACAGTAATACCGGCAGCTCATATTTGCACAGGGTGGGGGACGTGCAGAGAAGGAGCAGACTCCTGACACGTTCTGCCGTGTCCTTCCCAGGACCGGTGGCAGTCAGTGCTCTTCCTGGGACCCGGGGAATGGCTGTGGGGTCACTGAGGGCGTGCAGCTTGGGGGAGCGGTGCTGGGCGGGGACCTGAACGCATTCCCAGGTAGGACCCCCCCCACACAAGACCCTGTCTTCACTACTGTATTTTATGCTGTGATAGAATTTCACATGCTCCCCACTTTCTCGTATTTTAAAGACCATCTTTATTCTGAAATGTCAACTGTGATACATACATTTGCAACATATTAATGACAGTCATTTCCCTGTCCTCCGAGATTCAAGGTGTATCCAACGTGTAACAAAACGGTAGATGGTAAATACAGTGAAGAAAATTTGAAATCTCTCTCTAGTGTCAAAAAAACACCCAAAGGATCATCGGGGATGTGCTATGTGGTGGGTAGATTAATTCCCACGGGATATACAAACTGGTTCAAGGCTGACACAAGTGTCCCACTTACTAGCTGTGTGATCTTGCACAAGCTACTTAGCTTCTCTGAACTCCAGTTTCCTCATTTGGAAAACAGAGATAATAAAGGTCCCTCCTTCATAAGGTTGTGTGATAATGACATAAACTCGCTGTCACTATATGGCAGCTGTGCGAGACAGGGGGCTAGGAGCTGTTCTCGCCGTATATTCCCTGTTCTTCTCCTGGTGCTCAGTGTAGACACATCTTTTGAGTTCAGACTGAGGGCTCAGATGACATTAAAGTGTCACTCTTCTAATCTTATCCCAGGAAAGCATGTGGGCACCTTCAGAGTTTACAACTTGGAGAGCTGTAATATAAGATTCTGATGAAGTACGTCCCCTTCTGTGGAAGCCCAGGCCCAAGGAGCTCAGAAAATCACCTGGGACTAAATCTCCACTTGGCCCCTTCCACCTATCTCACTGCACCGGCCACATAACACAGATTTTGTCAGCACGGCGGAGGGTGGGGGGAGCGTCGGACGCGGCCAAACACGTTCAACTATCGGCTTTTTCTAAATCCAAATGTCAATTCTTCCACTCTGAGATGGCCAAGGTGTTTTTACACTACACTAATTTTAGTTGCTTGATGTAGCTGCATAATCACATTCCTAGATAACGACAGTGGACAGGGTTTGGCAGAGAATTCAATTATTTAGGGCTGAGCTCGGGCCATCTTGACAAGGTTCTCTGTAATTGATTCTCCTGCGCCGAGTGCCCACGCCACCCAGCTCAGAGGCTCGGGAACAGCTGTGAGCTGACCCCTCTTACTCAACAGCCCGATACCGTTGCTAACTTTAGCTGTGGAGTATGACTTTCAACACCGCGTTTCTGAGAAGTTACCAGAGAGACAGAAGCAGTGGCAGGCTATGGGCGTGTTTTCTAATCTGCTCCCTTTGGCAGCCACAGGCCGGGAGGGTTCAGTGAGTTGGGTGAGGCCGGGGCAGTTGCATGTTGACTTTTCAGAGCTTTAACGGGAAAGAACACGGGTCCCGGGGCAGGAAGCTTGCTCTAATCCCCTGGGCTCTCAGCTTCCCGAGAACAGAAGCGACGAGGCCCATTTGTTGTGAGAGCCAGCGTGTTGGGATGTTTGGGGCAGATCATTTATGGACACGTGTACACACAGTTTTACTGAAGAGCCTGCTGATCAATTCAGATAGAACATGGAGTTCCACGACACTCTGAACGTGGAGTACAAAAGCTTTGGCTGCTTCCCAGATAAGCATCTTCTTTCCCCCTCCTGAAACCCAGGGTTGTCTGGTGGTTCTTTTCACTTTGCCTGCTAGGAAGCTCAGAGTCCAATGAGAGGCTCCCATTCTGTCCACTGTGTTGGCCTTCACCGTCTGCATATCTGTAACCTTGTCTTCATACTCCTGTCACCTCCAGTCTCAACCACAGGCACCCAATTTTCTATTTATATGTTATTGACCTATAAGGTTGAACTATTTATATTTTTGAAAATGCATTGAATGTATCCTTGCTCTAAAACCAGGACAAATAATAAGGCATATCGATAAATAACCACCACTGATGGAAACCTCTTGTTCCTTACAGTAGGGGGCTGTTCTCCCCAATGGGATGCACCTGGTAGTACCGGGCTGGAGTGTGTTTCTTCCTGAATCTTCTGGGGAGTCTCTGCTCCCCAGGAGCTGGTACCCAGGGCCAAGGGCTGGCTACCCAACAGGCAGTTCCAAGCTCACGGTATGTTGAAGGAATTCAAAACTGTCAAAATGTGGAGGAAACAGTAAGGTGGGAGGAGAGAGTGGTGTTTCTGGTCGTGACAAGGGACAGCGGCAGACCTCCGGAGCGTGCTGAGTTCAAACCGAGGCTCAGGTCCAGTGACCGGCTCCGGCTGTCACGGGCAGGTGGCAAGGTTTCCTATGTAAGTGGCGGACACTCTCAGTGGGCAGCTCTCCGCCGGTCGCCGGGCAGGAGCCCTGACGGGCAGGCTGTGAGAGAGTGCCTGGGGTGACGCGTTCCTGGTGCTTGATGGACGGTCGTGGGAAACTTAGACACCCTAGCTTTTTTTTCAATCCTTTTTATAGAACACGAGATATTCTTTTCATTTTTTTCAAGCACCTAGAAGCATAACACGCACTCTTAGATCGAGGGTCCTACAGGAACGGGCGATGGTCTCGGTGTGGCTCCCAGCCTGTGGCTCACGGCCTCTCCTGGCCCCGACCTCTCATCCGGGAAGTCAGAGTCCAGGTTGGGCAGCACAGGTCCTTCTTCCCCTTCCTCTGCCTTGTTACCTGTCTCTCCTCTTCCCCAGGGTTCCCTGGTGGCTGCTCAGTCCAGTGCTCCCCAGGCCAGAATCGCATGGAGGGCTGGATGGATGGACGGATGGATGGATGATGACTTATCCAGCAGGGGACAGTTCAGTCCCTTCCCTCCCCTGAGAACTGCTCCATCCTTCCCGCCCTCCATGACAATGCTCTGCCCTAGAGGTTCCGCCTCTGGCTCCCAGATCCTGCCTCTGCGCCCACCTCCAGAGCCCACATGAGGATGCTTCTGGCCATGGCAGCCCCTTCGGAGTGGTGGCCACCAGGGAACTAGACGTCTGTGTCAGAGAAGGAAAGAGGCCAGGGACAATAGTCTGTTGGCAGGAGAAGAGAAAGGGGTCATCCAGGGAGACACCACGTCCCCATCCGTGGCCTAGGGTGCCAACTGCAGCCTTGGGGACCGGGTCCAGGCCATGGAAGGCCACTGTGATGTTGGGTCTGCACAGTGAGAGGGAGGGCTAGGCCTTTAATTCCCTCCCTGTCAAATTCGGATCAACCATGTCTCCTGGACGGCCGGCACACCTGGGCCTGCTGGGCCCCAGGTCCTGTCCAACGCCCACCAGGTCTAGAGGAGGAGCCGTGCCCACCCAGCGGGAGTCTGCCACGGTCCTCATCCTTCTTCAGCACCCCATCATTCTTCCTGGAAAGAAGCTGAGCCTCGGTCGTCACGGGTGACCAGGAAATCAAAATGGAGTCCGACCCGACCTCCAGGTTTAATTTTAATTGCATTTTTTAATCTTTCGGACATCGGCGGTGTTTATCTCATCATGCGGATTCAGAGGTGACCAAATCACCCACACGACCCTGTTTCCAGGCAAAGTTGGGTGACGGTGAACCTCGGGGGGCGCCCAGGATACTCTGCAGGGCTGCCATTCAGATTCGTCCTCAGCCCGTGGCCAAGGGCACACTTGTGTGCAAACCACACTGGCAAGGTGCCTTGGCCGAGCACCTCTGTGAACCAGTTTCCCTTCCGACTTGCTGGCCAAGCAAAAGTGCCCTCCTTCCCCGCCCCCGCCTCCCTTCCTTCAGGTCCCACCTTGGGGGCAGAAGTCAAAGGTCAAATCTCTGCAAAGCCTTCGCCACTGCCACGACCTGCGGACTGCACCACCCTCTTGTCCCAAGTCCTTCCCGTATTTTGTTAGCTCTAGGTCTGCTCCCGTGGGGTCAGGGTCCTGGAAGCTGGTCGCTCCTTCAAGAAGGCAGGTGGACCCCGGCGCAGAAGCAGGGCAGCCATTGCCATGAACCTCCCAGGGTGACCGTGTAGGAAAGCATGCGTGATAGCCAAGAGCCACCTGTATCTCCAAGGCACAGAAAAGGCGTGAGGTTTGAAGTTGGAGAGGGTGGCTTGGGTCTTGCTTTCCCTTTCCCATGTCTGGCGTCCTYAGGAAGACGTGCTCAGCCCGAAGCCCTCATTCCCCACCGGAGTGACGCGGAACAGCCCCTGGACCTGCTCACAGGTGCGTGGTGGCAGTGAAATGACAAGCTGCAGGTGGGCGTCCCTGGCACTTGGAAGGTATTTCCTCCTTCAGGGTGTCTGAAATGGGCCTCTGAGATCTGGCTCTCCCCTCTGCTCCTTGGTCAGTCTCAGGCTCACACCGACGCCTGCCCCGAGGTCTCCCTTGGAATGCGCTCGCGGCTCTTCCCCACGTGATCATGTCCATGGACATTCACACCCTTCTGCCAGCAGCCCCGCACCAGGGCCCCAGCTCCCCACCTTCTTCAGCACCTATGGTCTGCCAAGATCCCGAGCTGTCAATCACGCCTTGACCCAGGATAGTCAAGACCTGACTGCTGTTTACAGCCAGGTCAGTTTCCATCTCTCCTCCCCCATCAACTCCCCCATCACCTCCCCATCACCTCCTCCATCACCTCCCCATCACCTCCCCATCACCTCCTCCAT